AAATAAATGTGATAGTTCTGCTTTTACTAAAATTGTGAGATTTCTTTCTGCTGTTTTTGAATATTTAGACATTGTAAAACCCATGTGCAAATGACTGCCTTATTATCTGAAAACTGATATTTTTGCAATTGATTATAGCATGTCTGTGAAATGTTTATTTGTGAATTGACAACCTATAAATTGTGATAATTCCGTATTCTTGAATTTCTATAGGAGTTTTTCTATACATTGGCAATTATACTAGAATGTCTTTACGAACTGCTACCTTTCTAAATTTGAGCCCAAAATATTTGATTGGTTATTTTTGAAATGTTATTGAAAGTGACTGTTATTAATGGTTTCAGTGAAATTCATATTAGTGATTTCAATGATATGTTGAGTGCATGATATTGCTGCTTTCAAATGTTTAAAGAGATTTAGAAATACTTTAACTATGCAAGTGGACTCATCCGGTTCACCGGTGAGATATAAGTGGACCTATCTGGGACACCGGTAGGGATTAAGTGGACTCTTCCGGTACGCCGGTGAGGTATAAGTGGACCTGCAGGGTTAAGTGGACCTATTTGGGAAGCCGATAGGGATTAAGTAGACCCATCAGGACGCTGATGGGGTATATAGGTGACCTACTTGAGACGCCAGTAAGGTATTTTGTGAAATCCTTTGAATTATGCACTGTCGTTAAAGTGTTATATGCATTTCAATTATTCGGATTATACTTAATTATGTATTTATTGAAAGTGAAACTGTTGATGCATTCCTGTTTATAGATCTCCTTTTTGAAAATATTGATATCTTTCAACCATGATTATTTTTAGGATTATGATGATCACTTACTGAGTAGCCAAACTCATCAAACTATAGTAAACATTTTTTTCAGGATAACTGCGGATTCATTTTGAGTGCTAGTCAAGATCACCCTTGGAAGATATTGTTGTTGTGCTAACTTTCTTTTGTTACTTTGCAAGATCTCGCCACTGTAAATTTTTCCTATCAAGAGATGTATATATGTTTTGACTGTCACATCTCAAGAATATCTGTATTGTAAATTCTTGGGGTGTGACAAATGGCATTTTAAAAGTTGGTGTCCTAAAACTTTATTTGTGGAATGCTTTGTCTTTTAGTTAAAATTTCAATTTTACCCTTAATAGAATATCGCTATTTTTTATAAAAATATCTATTGTATCCTTCTAAATGACCAGAAATGCCCTTTCTTGAAAAATTTTGTATTACAATTCAAGAGTATTTAAATATCCAAAAATATCTAAAATTTTAAAGATATAAACCACCAAATAGTGTAGCCTAACAAAACCATCTAATAAACATTTAAATTCACCGAGAGACCTTCTTAGTCATAAATCTTTCTACCCGTGCCCTTCTCTCTCTCTCTTACTTTACCATTCAATTATGACTCTTTCTCTTTCCCATGCCCCTCTCTCTTCTCTCCATTTCTTCTGGCCAAAACACAAAAATGGAGGCTTCTCTATCCCGTGCATCTCTCTGAAAATCATGCAACAAATGGGAAGTAGCTTCTCTAAAATATATTTTCTCTCTCTAACTCCCACTTACTTTACTAATCTCTCCATTGTCTCTGCTCTTGTCTCTACAAATCTCTCAGTATTGTACTTGTTCTTTGTGATACATTTGCAAAGCATGTAATAGGTATATTTGCTTTGTGCTTCCTAATGCATTGATGCCAAAAGTGTTTTTTAAATTGAAGCGAATGGGCAATTGGGCGTTTGTTTATTGTTGTTTCTCTATATTCAGGTGGTGGTTTTTGTTTGTGTTTTTTTGCAATTTTCAGTGAGGTGTTCATACCTTGTTTACTAAAATTACGGCCTAGGGTTATTGTACTGAAATAAATCGAGATGGTGGCCAAAATTTAATTCTAAGTTCACATAAATGGCAAGGTCCTAAGCCCTTATTTCATGTTCAAAAACCTTAATATTGAAGTAGCTTTCTCTAATACTCTCTCTAAGAGTCCACGTATTGGGCACTGACCATATTGTTAGCGTAGTATTCTACATCATTATAGACATATATCAGTGTTTGTATGGATTTATATAAATTCTCTCCGTTGAAATGTGTAATACTAGAATACCCCCCCTAACAATGTCTTTGGGCGTCTGAATCACCTAATTATGTGGTCATGCTGGACCATTTAATACGTGTCCATCGATATATGAATAGACTCGCTTTCTTCACGTAGATGTGCAATGCTCATATTGTAGTTGTGCTGTCCGCTGAGCACAGTGTGTATATGGAGTATGTTGCCGTATCCTCCCTAGTTGGCATGATACACACTCCAATTTATCTCTATTGGGTGCAATCGACTTAACGTATGATGTGTAATGGAAAGCAGAAATGAAGCGTAATTACGCTCATATTACTGCTATAGAAAAAAATTTTGAAAATTTAGATATTATATTAGAGAAAGGTTTCTATGATTCTCTTACAGCATAGAAGTTCTATCCTCTCCCTACCATCCAGTCGTCTAATTTTGATGAAGAGAGTGACTCACCGTTTGATTTTAGATCCGACGTCTCAAAGTATTTCATTTTTAGCTTTTTTTTATATAAATTGTATGAATATGAAATTTGGTATGTGACATTTTCTCATTAGGGTGCACTTTTAACAAAAAAATTAAAAATAAATTTTTAATAAAATATAATGACCAAAATATCCCTTGAATCTTTCAGGGTATTTTGGTCATTTTATTTTATAGAAAATATTTTTTTTATTTTTTTTGTTAGTGCGAGTTTAATAGAAGAATGAACATCCAAACTTTGGCACCAAAATAGTTTATAAAAAAAATTATAAATAAAATAGTGTAGAGACGTAACATTGTGATAGGGGCAATATTAGCCCTCCATTCAAAATTGACGATTGGATAAAGTGAAGGATAGAACTTTTATGTTGTATGAAAAGCATAAAAACTCTTATATGTGGATAAAATTTAGAAGGTTGACAATATGAATTTTAGAGGACTTTGGATTTTGAAAATCTGAACTTCTCTTCGAAAGTGTGGCTTGCTAAAAAATTTCGTATTTTTAATATTAAAAGTTTAGAGAGCTTTACATTTTCAAAATCAGAAATAATTTTAAGTCTTTCAACCACCTAAAAAGTGGTTCAAATGTTTGATTAAAAACGTTAAACTTTGGACTTTTAATATCCGAAATAAAAGTAACGTTACCATTTAAAAAAATACAAAAAATAGGTATGAATGTAGGAGAACAACTTTAGGAGGATATGCACGCACAAAATTGATTTCTTTAATAAGAGGCCCTATGACGTACCACTGGCATAGGGTCGGTACTGCACATAGCGGCCGGTCAAATATGGCCTGAGGATCAGGCTTGATTGGGCTAACATGTCCAGATGATTGAGGCCAAGCTTGGATCAAAACCACAAGCAGGCTCCACGCAGGCCTGATGTCTGCTTTATTTTTTTCTTTTTGTAGTCTATTAGGCTCTGTCCAACTTGGGCCTAGGCCCCCTTTGGCCCAATCTATGCAAGGCTCAGGACGAGGCTGGCCCAAATCAACCCAAACCGGTTGCAGGCCCTACACTACCCCTTTACAATATCCCCCACCTCAAAACCCTACCAAAAAATGCAGCCAAGGTTTAGCCGATATGTGAACACTTAAAAATCAATAATCTAAATAATGTGTAAGAAAATACATTGTTTTAAAGCTTAAATTCTATACTTATCATAATATGGAATTCCAAGAAGAAAAGAGTAAAGGAGACGATACATACGATAGGGGTGGCAATGGAACCTACCATACCCAGGATCCAACGGGTAGACCCAACCTTGGGTCCGGGTATGGGTCCAAATTTTTGTTTTGGACCTAAAAGGTCGGGTCTGGATCTGGGTCCCGCTAGACCCGACGCGTTGCCACCCCTAACATGCAAGGAGAAAAAGAAGAGTATGAGATAATTCTCGGAGGAGGGAGAAAGGATGAAAAGAAAGGACATACAGGGGAACGTTTTGAAGAATTCAGGCTATCTTGGTCATTTACCATAGTGACATGCATTTTCTTGTCCCTCTGTAGAAAAAACAAAAAAAAATACAAGAAAACATGGCAAAAAATTGTACAGATGGAATGAAGAGTTTAGCCATATGAATACTAGAGGCTGGCATTTCTCTAGCAAAACAGCTCCCTGCCACTCAAAAGAAGAAATAAAAGGTGAACAAGCCCATCCAAAACAACAAACTGATTCTTATTCATTCTCCACCCTGAAATCCCTCGGCTAAGAAGGGAATTTCACATAACACCGCCTGAATTCCGAAACCCCATTCTCTTAAGTTCATGAAATTGTTCTAAATTGTAAGGAATTCTCAAGTTTAAGTGCATTAAATAGTTGTAAAAAGTAGGTATCAATTTTTCAGCGACAAGCACTTAACATGGCTGCTCAATCTATCAACATGTATAGCCCTTCAATTCAATGTACGAGGTCGAAAAGGAATTTTTCTTTCCCTGTTTCATCTTCATGTTTTCAAGTGGGAAAATCGGAGTTGAGAGGCCAGAAAATGGCTGGTGGAGAAGTGTTGGTTGTTTTCAGGCGAGGACCTCCGAGGAGAATTGTCATGTGTTCAGCTGTTCAAGAATCACCAACAGGTAAGCATTCTTACTCAGTGTTAAAACTTAAAAGAGTTAGAAAACAATACTCAGTTCGGGACATGCCACGCAGAATTCCAACACTGCTCATGTGTGTAGTAGAGCTGGAAAGTTTCTGTTATGTGTTTCATTGTAAAATTCCTAGATCATGGAACAACTTTTATTAGAACATAAATGAAAATTAATGGAAACTGTTTGCTTAGAAGCAAAATTAAAAAACTTGCCACCAAAAGGAAAACAAAATTACATAAGAAAAAAAAGATAATTATAGGCAAGTTATGCCCAGAAAAGATGTACCAATTTCCCAAAGATTTGTCACCACAGAAACGATGGATTTTGAACATAAATTCAAGTATCCAACTCATTTAGCTAGTATTTAAGTGACACAAAAAGGAAACCAAGAGCTCTTTTGCCGAAACTCCTATGCTTAATTTGCTTTCTATTTTGGAATGCCCATTATGTTTTTTTTCATCATGGAATTTCTTAACCCTTCTGAATTCCACTGCAATGACATGCTCCAAAACATAAAGTATCAGTGCTTAAAAAGTTGGACTCATCTCTAGCTCACCAATTACTAGAGCCGAGGTCCACTTTTAAGCTTGTCCAAGTCATACTGGGTATTTCTCAATATTAAAAATTCAAATATTGTGAAAAATTCAGAAGTCTTGTCTGATTCCTCAGTTCTCAGCCTAGAATCATTGTCTCCCAATCTGGATCGATTTGGGCGAGTCCCAAGTCAACCCAAGTCTTGAGTTGGGCCTGCAATTTTTCAAAAACAAATTTAATTACATGCAAATTTCAGGCTAAATGCACCGCCAATCCCAAATTAAGTAACTCTTAACAATGAGACTGTACAGAGGCTTGTTTCCCATCACTAGCTAGTGAAAGTTCATTCTTTATCTAACAATATCTACTTTTATTAGGGTTTTCTAACCAGTCATGCAAGAATCTACACGACCACAAATCACTTATGTTAATATGATCCAGGGCAGAAATATACTCATCATATGATTTATAGAATGATCTTCTTATAAATAAGAAAATGTTATACTTAATAACAGAAACATGGTTGTCAGAAAATAGAAATACTTCTCCAAATAAAACAGGGTTTTGTGAGATAGTAGAATCCAAGTAAATATTAACGAGAAGTATGAGAAAATAATGGCTCAATTCAAACCAAAAGTGCCCTCCAAAATGCTAATGGTATGTCACTAAGATATAGGAAAAATATTTGCCGAGTCAAGTAACCCATCCCCTGAAAATTTTTTGGTTTTCGAGGGATATAGGGTTTGGAACATATACCAAATCACTGGAGATTCTTTTCTGCCTCGAATCCATGAATTTGGAGATCTAAAAACAGTGCAAATTTCATGATTATGGAAAAATTAAAATGAATTTTTCCAAACTACAAAATATATTATGTCCAAGACTCGAAATTCGCTCTTTTTATTTTTTTGGGCATTCATAATCGTAGTGATATGGGAACTACAACTTAATTAGAGACATGTATGGGGAGATTCAATCTTCATGAATTGGAGGATCATGGCATCTAATGACCATGCTGTCGAAATCTTCATATGGGCCTTCAGTATCTATGAACCACTGTTACAAAATCTCTAGTCCAAGTTAGGACTTACCGGAGTCGGACCAGAATGGGAGAAAGATGATTTTGTGCCAAGAAACCCAAGAATTGGCCGACTCACTCTTCTTTCTGTAATTTTTTAGATTCTTCATTGAAAATTCCCCCGACTTCTTCTCGCCCAAGTCAGACTAGAGGGGTTCAAGCTCGGGACGCTGATGTGTTGGAGCCCGAGTCCAACTCTTTAATGGTCCAACTCTTTAATGGTCCAATCATACATGCTGCTATGATCACTAACGAATTGATGCAACATTGCTCCATGCACATTAAGGCTCTAGTAGTCACATGAAACCTTAACAATTTGATGATTAATCAGGTCTTTTCAGATTGGGTTTGTCTTCCTTTTTCTCATACAACAGGTTACCTTTGCCTCAATTCTCAGTAAAGTCTATAATATATATTCTTCATTTTCCTTTTCTTATTTACTTTTCTCAATGAATTTCAGTTGCATCTGAAACTAAAGAAGCAGTTAAACCAGAAGGAGAAACTCCAGTTAAAGAAACTCCGGCAAAGCGAGCAGCTCCAGCAAAAGCTCCAGTCAAAGCATTGCCTCAATTTATGGAAGAGGATGTTATCCCTTCTCTTAGGGCTATTCTGGAAGCCGAAAATGATATCTCAGAAATCGAACTCTCATTTAGTGACAATAAGGTCAGTTTTCTGCAACCTTCATGAGGCATGATATTCCTAGAGGCCATGTTTTTAATGATCAATGGGAAAGTGCACTATAGCTCCACAAAGTCACAAACTACACAAAACCTAAGGAAAGGGGCTGGGGTTGTGGCGGTAGCATCCCCACACCCAGTTATCACATCATGGTATCTATGCCTACGGTTGACACTTCCAATTAACATATTCAAAATGTAACTCCCTAATCTATTAAAAAACAGGCAGGGACCTGTCGTCCCCACTGAAGTATCCAAAAAAAAAAAACAATACAAAACCTTTGATCCCATGGTTTGAGACCTTCCGATCAATGGATGACTCATGATCGAGAGATAATGGGACCCCACTCAAACATGGAACGAGCCAATTAGTACCTTCCATGTTCCCTTATTCATTGCCTGTCCATAGGTTGGATGGTGGGGATAACCTTAGGAAGCATGGTTTTCTGTAGTCTAAAGGTCGGATTCAGTGCAGAACCTCCAGGGGCCTGACCGAGTAACCCTGAACTAACTCGGGAGAGTCCAACTCAGATTAACAACAATTAAAGGATTGGAGGCTTGGGGAATTCCATGGTTTTTCAGTCCGAAACGATGGCTTACGATCTGGACTAATTGGGTTCACATTTGGGGAATGGGTGGGACCGATATTGCTTGATTTAACCTTTCGCTAGAATGGACGGTCTAAATTCGCTTCGGATGGAAAGCCGAAGGACATTCCCCTTTGGAATAAAAAAATAGGTGGAAAATGACTAATAAAAAATATATAAGGATAATGCATAATCCAAATATATGGAAAACCAGTAATCCCTGATCCTGAAACTTCAAAACATTGTTTTGACATACACAACTTTAGTTAATCTTTTATATTTTTATTTCAAACAACCACCTACCCTGCCTTACTGCATATTGTGATTATGGTTGGTTTCCATCTTGCAAAAATAGAGAGGGAAAAGGAGTCTTTTATGGACCTTGATGACTTTTTAATCACTCTCTCAAATTTCTCATGCTTTGCTTTTTCTTGTTTTAATTCCAGTTAGAGGGCTCCTTTGTAAAGGATGGCATACCTTACAATTTTTGGGCTTTCTTCCCTAGTGGCAGCCTTGTAGGTGGGAGCCTAGTTCTCTCTCTCTCTCTCTCTCTCTCTCTCTACTACTACTACTACTACTAACTAACTAACTACTTACTTACTTATTAGTTACTTACTTACTTTACGTTCGTACGGTACCGGTAACGGGTTACGGTTACGTTA